GTGACATCACGCTGGAATGAGGGGCGGTGGTGGGGCCTCGCCCGCCCCCGGTTTCGGTCTCCGAAGAATCATGCCATGAAATCTCCGATGGAGCCCGGCGGAACACTCTACTCGGACGACATCGCCGACAAACGCGGAATTCATACGTGTTCATTGTTCAGTGACTTATAATGCGAGCTATTTACAGACCGGTTTCCCCCCACCTTCCGCTCTTAACATCTTGTCACTACTTCGCTGGCCTCATTCTGAACACCGGACCTGCCCGGCAATCTTCGATAATGGCCGGCACTCTGTCAACGATGGCACACAAGATCGAGATGTCAAGATGCATGGTCTAGTGTCCAACCATGGACTCGAAAATAGGGGCGAATCTCGCACCGACCGGCTTGGCCTCATCAACGATGCGACGCATCTCCTTCAGTTCGTCCTCGGTAAGGACAACCTTGCGCGAATCCCAGTTCTCATCCAAGCGAGAGGCCTTGGTCGTGCCGGGGATGGCGATGAGGCCTTGGGCGGCGACCCAGGCCAGTGCAATCTGAGCCACCGTACATCCCTTGATCGTGGCCAGCTTCTTGATCTCGTCGACAATGGCCTTATTGCGGTAGAAGTTGTCGCCCTGGAACTTGGGCACTGCGCCATTCGAACAAGTAGTGTTAGTAGACAGACGCATTGACTAGCTGCGTTATGAGGGCGCTTACCGGTGCGTCGGAAATCGGTTGGGCCAAAGTCGTCGGGAGACTTAAAAGGGAAGTCATCAACAAGCCAGCCGTGTCCGAGGGGGCTGAATGCCACAAAAGCAACGCCAAGCTCCTTAGCAGTCTCGATGAGGCCGTTTGTCTCATGGATGGTCTCGAAAGCCGAGTACTCAGCTTGTATGGCATCAATCTTCGCAACTGCAAAAAGCAATACCTGGTTTAGCGTTGTCCCGGAGCCTGTCCCGTGTCATTCTGGTGAGCAAACGTACTCGCATTCGCTTTGCGCAAAGTCGCGGCAGAGCACTCAGACAGGCCGATATACTTCGTCTTGCCGGCACGACGGAGCTCATCCAGTGCGCCGATGGACTCCTCGAGCGGGGTGTCTGCGTTCGAGCGTAAGTGATCACGCCATTAACGGCCTGTGAAGACGGGTTCAAGATGGGAACGGGACGTACTCGGGTCGATCCTGTGCAGGTAGTACAGATCAGGGGTGAAGCCGAGCCTGTCGATTGTACCCTCAATATACTCCTTGATGTGGGATGCTGAATTCGTCACAGTGCGTTGCGGGCCAAAGACGTCGAATCCGCATTTGGATGCGACTACGCACCAGCAGCAGTAGTTAGTCCTGTCGTTCGGGTGCAAGTGTATATGCAATAATGAGACGCACCAAAGAGCTTGTCGCGCACGTCGTGCTTCTTGACAAAGTCACCGAGAAGCTGCTCGTTGGCGCCGTTCTTGTATGCGACCTGGTATGCTTGTCAGATGATTGATTGATTGTCTCCCATGGCGTCGACTTGACGACGGTGAGTGACATACGGCAGTATCCCAGAATGTGCAACCGCGCTCAACGGCCCTGAGCAGGACTGGCTCGGCCTGGTCGTAGCTGAGATCGCTTCCCATGGCAGAGCTTAAGCCCATGGCCCCAAAACCGGGGACCTGCACCTGGGTGTCACTGAAGGGCAGAGTGGTAGTAGACATGGTTGAGATATTCTTTGATACGTTAGCCAGCATACTGCCAATTTGCAGGGACAGGAGCTTTATGTTTGCGTACATGACGATGTGACAGGATTGTCCGATATTGATGGATGCAGAACCGGCGGAACATGGAATATGTTGCTGTTGATCACGGTTGCGAATGGGCTTTGCATTTATCATGTCGGTGGACTTGACGGGCAGGCCGAGACCCCAGAGAACCAAACCGAGTCAGTCCGAATGCCGTGGGTCCGGCTTCCACTACCTTAAGTCCGCTCGCTGACAACCCGGAAGATGCACGGACTGGCGTGCGGGCGAATCAATGGGGCATCACGGCATATCCCATCCCCTCCCATTGAATCGCGTACCTACAACACCACAAGATCCGTAGTGACGTAGCAATTCCGCCGAGCTTATGCCCGGTCAACTGCCGATGAGTGCGGGAAGGAAATTGAAGAATTCTTGCGATAATTAATACAGTAATACATGTATGTGGGATGCACACGACACCACGAGCAAGGGTCGAGCGACAAACACTGCCAAGTGGGGATATCACCTTAGTACGAACGACATCAAAGGCTTGCTATGACTTTTATGACTTATGTGACATGTCTAACAACTTTGATTATTCTGCATAGATCTCGCAGCTCTCCAGGTGATAGAGGATTCTATCTGAACAGTACGTGTCAAAGTGACTTATCACCCAAAGCAATGAAAGATATCAATATGGTCCTCTTAGCGGACCTTGAAGAAACCAGTCCAGAGACCGGAGGAGGCGAAGACACCCTTGGGGTCCACCGCCTTCGAGATCTCCACCAAACGGTCCCGGTTGTTCTGCCCATATCCGCCAAAAACATCTTGGCCCTTGTTTGCGTAGTTGATGTAAACGAAGGGGTGAAACGCGTCGAGCTTCTCTGCCGCCGCCCGGAAGTCGGTGATAAAGGTCTCCGCAAGCGTGCTTGCTGCATTGTCCAATGTTCTGTCGGTCCAGCTCAGAGCGAAAAGGTTAACTGGACGTCTATGGTTAGACACCGTTGGTTGCGCAGCGCTTGCTTGAGAACAATGGTAGAAGGTGAGGGAGCTTGGTATTGACGTACTTATGAGATGTCCCGAGACATCTTCCAGACCGAGAGCGTTGCCGCCTCTAGCCTTTGCGTTCTTCATCATTGCCGCAGGGATAGAGTATGTGATGAGCTGGGGGTTGAGGCTGGTTAAGTTTCTGGTCTCGGTGAGGTTCTTCATGATAGCGAGGCCTTGCTGGCTCAACTCCAAAGACGGGTAGTGGGTCAAAGATGTGAAGAGGTTCCTAGACAAGACAGTTAAAATCAACCGAAGAACATCACCTAATGAATGAAGTACCTTGTAACTCCCAGCTGGCCGACGGCGCTGGTGCTGCTCGCCAAGGTGTTGATGCCCCCCGTGAGGTTACCCACGGCCGGGATGCTGTTGAGGGCGTTGAATACAGGGGGATTCATGACGGGCTCTGCATATCGCTGCGTGGTCGATACAGTCCAGCCGTTCTGGGCGGAGAAAGTGTAGCGGTATTCAAGTCCGACATTGGTATCTTGCTCGTCTTCAACCGTGAAGATCTTTTCGACCTCGTCCAACAGCGGGACGATCTGGCTTTCGGGAAAGGTGCGCGCTCCAGTGTACACGGGACCCTGCTCATAGACGTCGACAACGAACGACGTGACGATGCCGAAATTGTTACCACCACCTCGCAGCGCGAAGTACAAGTCGGGGTGGGAGCTTTCTGACACCTTTGCCACGCTAGCATTGGCCAGCACAACCTGTCGAGGTGATAAGTAAGAAAACGGTTTTAAGACGCAACAACACCAACATACCTCGTACTCCAATACGTGATCCAAAGCCCATCCGTACTTCGCCGAAAGGGCCGACGTACCGCCGCCGAGGGTGAAGCCACCCGCACCGACCTGGCCGACTCGTCCACCGACATTGGTCAGGCCGTACGGGTCAAGAGCAGCGTATATCTGCCGGGTGACGGACCCACCGCCGATGCTTGCTGTCTTCCTGTCGTCCGATACGGTGATGGTGCTCATCAAGTCCAGGTCGATGGTGACTCCACCCGTCGAGACCGAGTCGTCGGGGTTCCTGGAATGGCCACCACACTTCACCGCAAACTTGCACCAGCTGTCCACGAGTACCTTGAGAATCTTGGAAACCTCGTCGGTTGAATTGGGCTGGACGCGGCAGACATAAGCCGTCTCGAGTTGCTTCTGATCCCAAATGGTGAAGTTGCTGTCGGAGGCCTCGTAGTGAAGTCGGCCGGGGAAGCCGGCGGCCAAGACGTCACACTATATGACCGGGTCAGAGTGCAAACCATCACTTCATCTGGCTAGGATGGGCCTACCGCCTGTTGACAACTCGGGCCACTGTTAACAGCAGAGACATCACGCGCCACTGATAGGGAGGCGGCGCACGCCTGAGAGAAAACAAGGCCGCAGACCGAGGCGATCTTCCAGTTGCTAAGCATGGCATTCATCTTGAAAGTCGATGATCAGTGAAATATCGGACGGTAAGTGAGTTTGGTGGTTGAGAAGGGTAGGACGGCAATTTGGTCACGAAGCCATCGGTCCTTTTATAAGCTATTTAGATTTGTAGTCTTTCACACAATTTCACTCTATGCCAATCACAACGAATGACTTTCATGTTGGCGCCTCGTCATGTCGTAATTATGATAGTCGGGGGAAGGCGAGAAACGAACGTGTGCTAGAATCAGATACCCGCGGATGATTAGGTTGGACGAGGGACCCTGGGAGCCTAGCAAACGAACTGCCGTGCCCCCACCTGACGACTTCGTCTACCAAGGACCTCTTTACTAATACACCTCAGCAAAACATACCTGCCACCCCGTGCTGAGACCAACCATTTTCATGGGGCTTACGTAGCAAGTCGTTAAAACCGAAAGTCCGGGTCAGCAACCTTCCGTTTACAGTGTAGAGGATACCCACGTATATGGGTCTACTTAGCCAATGAACCTTGCGGATAGTGGGCAGTGCCATTAATGGTTGACCTCTCGACCGTCGTTAGAGAAGACGTAGAGATACCCGTCCAATCATGACATGACCTCCGGCAAGATCATCTGTTGACTTATTCGGTATCTTGAAAGGGTAGTGTATTCGTAAATGGGGGAGATGGGTCAGTTAATTTTCCTTAGTTAGGTTCTTGATGTTAGAAACGTCAACGTGCTGTTTCTAAGTCTCATGTTTTCTTCTACGCCTTTCTTTTTTCCCTGATCTTTTCTTTACGTTCATCCAACACAGCATCGATTCATTTTCTCAGTCTTTCTTTGCACAGAGTCAACGTGTCATAATGAAACACCTTCTTTCATCAGTCACTGTGGCACTCGCTTCCGCCACCCTTGCTGCTCCTCAACCCATCTGCGGTAATTGGACAGTTGGCCAAGCAGTGAAGACAACGAGCGATCGTGTCTTTGGTCATGCTGCTTCCGATGCCGATCAAGTCTCGGCGTATTTGGGTATTCCATACGCCGTCCCTCCAGTAGGAGCCTTGCGTTTCCAGCCTCCCATCGCCTACAACGGGTCGCTGGCCATCAACGGCTCTGACTTTGTTAGTTGACTATTCGGACAAAGCCGTCCTGCATTTCCCGCTGCACCTCAAGAACAGCACACCACATATCATTCGCCTGTTATTGCTGTTTTGTGGGGGGCGGAGTAGTTGCTAATCCGTCGTGCAATCTCTCTTAGGGCCCAGCGTGTATGCAGCCTGCACCCACCGAATTTCCCCAGAGCGAGGACTGTCTGTCCATCAATGTCTGGACCAAGCCCCAGACCGGAGAACGCAAGAAGGCTGTTCTCGTCTGGGTCCATGGAGGTGCCTATACTTACGGTAAGCAAAACCAATGAGGACGACCGGCGTTGGTTACGACTGACGGTGGCGCTGTAGGCGGCGCGCGTCAACCTATGTACGACGGACAGTTTATCGCCGACACGTCAGATGTTGTGTTGATGTCAATCAAGTAAGGGAGGAAATCACTTGCATATCTCGAGACATAGTATCACCTAACGCTTTCTCTCCAGCTACCGTCTCGGCATCTTTGGTTTCCCCGGTGACCCTTCTTCTGCTTCGAACCTGGGACTTCTGGACATGAGGGTTGCTATGGAGTGGGTTCGCGATAACGCCGAAGCGTTCGGCGGCGACACCAGCCGCATCACCATCTTTGGCCAGTCTGCTGGCTCCGGAATGGCCGACTTCTACTCCTTCGCCTATGCCTCGGATCCCATTGCTAGCGGCTTCATCTTGCAGAGCGCGACTGTCGTCGGCTTCCCAGCCCTTCTCGCAGACACCCTGTCCCCAAGGTGGTACCGTATTGCTGATTCTGTCGGCTGCTCTAGTAGTAACAGTAGCACCGCCGCCGCCGCCGTCACCGACTGCATGAGGAACCGCACCGCTGCGCAGATCTTCGCAGGCTTCTCTGCCGCTGAGACTGGCATTGGATCGACTCCCGCTTTCGGCCCTGGTGTGGATAATGAGCTCGTGTTTGAAGACTACTCCAACCGCAGTTCTGCAGACGCCGCCTACCTAATTGGCAATAACGAGAATGAGGCCGGCGCTTTCAAGAGCCTCCAGCCTAACAGGACCGAGACTTACTGGGCCGATTTCAACTTCAGATTCTATACTTGCGCCGACAACATCAGGCTTGCCCAGACCGTTTCGGCCGGTCTCCCTTCCTGGAGGTACCGTTACTTTGGTGACTTCCCCAATCTGGCCCTCTCGATCAACCCGCCCAGCGGAGCGTATCATGGTGCCGAGGTATGTACCCTCCGTCCCGTTCCACACACACACACACACACACACACACACACACACACACATGTCTGTACACTTTGGTTCATCGGGACTAACTCTTTCTGTCTCTTTCTCTAGTTGCAACCTCTCTTCGGAACGCTGCCTCAGGACCCCCCTAGTACAACCGTGGAGTTGGAGACGGCCGAATTCCTTCGCGGCGCCTGGACTACCTTTGCAAAGAACCCCACCTCTGGCCTGCTCAGCTACTCGGGCGGGTGGCCGTTTTACAACCCCAGCGAGAACACCATGGCACGCATTGCATTCAACGACCAGACTGGCACCAACCTGGGCCAGGGTGACGCTTACAACGAACGTTGCGCGTCTCTGCCCGCCACTGCTCCGTCTTAGGTATGCAAGTCCGAGGATGCCATTTGCGAAATAAGGTCCGAATAAGGATGGTAGGATTGTTTTGCCTTGGACGAGGTTGAAGGATTACATCATGCATGGGAAAAGAGCCTACCCTTCTAGTGACAAGCATTGAATACACAAGTCCCGACTTTTGAATCGATAATGACTCGGACAGAAAAGACAGTTGAGGAAGTGGCCGAGATTGACGTTAAACCAGAAGTGAGGGTTGAGTTCGTAGCAGCTACGTACAACCACCGACCTACGAATCCTTCACAAAAACGTCAAAGAAAATGACCTCCCACTTCCAGCCCTTCTGCCGAACCAGCATATTCCACTCCCCAAGCAAGTCGTGCAAATAGTGAATGTTCGCCTTCAAATAATATCCCTGGTCCTTCTTGCGCAGCCACGCCGGCGAATCAGCGTACGCGCGCGTATACAACATGGTAATCCACATCACATCCTTACCACACAGCCCAAACTCCTCGCCCTTGGGGCCGAGCAGCTCGAGCACGCGCTCAAAGAAGGCGGTCCAGTCATACTCGACCTCGACGGCCTTGGTCTTGGTCACTACCTGTGTCTCGTCAGCAACATCGGTCTTGCCCACGGCGGCGGTCACCTTCTTGATGCGCGGGGGCACGTTGTGGCGCAGCTCGTCGACGGCGTACATGAGCACGTCGACGAGCTTGAAGCAGACGTCGTCGAAGGGCTGAAGGAGGTCGTAGTACTCCTCCCACGGCAGGTCGAGCTTGAAGCGGGAGGGCTTGAGGAACTCGAGGGCGGCGCGGTGCGGGTAGGGGATGAGCTGGTCGATGGGGTCGAAGCGCAGGCCGGGGATGCGGAGGTAGGATTGGGGGGTGAATTCGTAGATGAACTCGGCGGAGGTTTGGGATTTGGGGGTGGGAGTGGGTTCCATGGTGTCTGTCTGTGTTGCTTGTTTGGATTGGTGACTATGTTGAGTGGTTCTTGAGCTTGATGTGGTCGATGGTCAACTTTTGTAGGCATGATGAACCACCCAAGAGCACTACGGACAAATCCATTGATATTAGCGATGCAGAACTGTTCTCGAGACCTTTTGCTTTGTAAAACAATCAAAGAACACGGGTCCTAGAATAAATACAATCAGCTGTTATGGATCCAAATAGGGCCTTTGTGCTGAGAAAGTCAGTGCCATGGTTCTGTTCGAGGTCAAAGGCAACCAGAAAGGCATATCCAGTACTGAAAGCAACCACTCGCCGACCAAGTGGCCAGTCCCATTTGGTCAGTTTGAATGGGACTCATGGATACCAGCATGTGACAACTGTCAAATGATAAAGATGATGCTCGGCGTGGTTGACATGGGCGTCGCGACGAGCCGCAATCACACGTGGCGGTGATCTCTGACGCGATAGGTCGCCTGGTGGGCCAAGGTCTTCGGTCCCACGACCACGATTTCAACGACATGCGATCGGCACACTCATAAGGAGACGACATCCCATAGTTCTCGAAGGAAGAATTCCGACCTTATTCTTCGTGAAAAAAAGACCCCCTCCTGTGAAAGCTCTTGCTGGGTGGGCCATGAAACTTCCTCGACACTCTTCGTCCTTGCCGTTGGAGATTTGCCCAACGAAACCAGTCGCACTGCAGCAAAATCGTCTGTCACACACCGCTTGGAAAATTGACGTCGGCTTCCGAAGGCGACCAATTTCGAAAGAACAACCGTCGTACTCAGGGTCCCTACATCCAGTCGCCTATTCAGATGGGAGTACAGCCAGACGCTCGTGTAACCAAGCTCATCCATGGTCTCAAGTGCAACAACCAGACAAAGACCTAGCGAGCACGAGTATGAACAAAAGGGGCACAGATCCCACCTAAGAAAACAATCCAATTGTCCTGTTCACAAGACTTCTCCTCTGACATGTTGCTTGCTCACGACCGCAACAACAGCAGAAGCGCGACGAGAGCTCCCGACAGCCCCAACACCGCCCTGGGCAATCCTCCTCAAGCATTTTAGAATACCAGTCCGTCGTCATCATCATCAGCCCCTCGCCCGAGAACTTCCAATGCACCTAGACTGTCGTCGCCCTCCAAGTCATCGGAACCCGGCAAAATCGGCCCCCGAACCTTTCTCTCCATTCCCCGAAAGCGAAAGACCCCACGGACACGGGCCACGGATATCTCGGCCAGACAAACCATACTGCCTGGGCGAAAAAAATACCCCGAGATCTGCGCCCGGAGGGATAGGGCACCCAATAGCATTTATATCGAATGCCTCTTTGGGCGGGACGCTTGAATGTAGAAAGGTCGAATCACGCGTGTATCCGAGACCTCCGTTGATTATGGGGCCCACTGAATACGAAAGGACCGCCGCAGAAGCCGGGCGGACAGGCACGCATATAAGCAATCACGTTCCCCCGATGGCTAATTCAGAAATATGCTTGGTAAGATGTGTTGTGTCTCTTTTCTATCGACGAATATTCTCATTATGACGGGCTAATATAAAATGTACCCTGATGATGGCCTATTGAAAAAATAAAAGCCGAGGCCGATAGTCATTTCCCAACGCCTCTACAATGCTATGAATAATAAAGTAAGGATTCTTTCTTCCGCATCTCTCATACAGCATTCTTCCTTTTTGGCCAACGATTACCGCACGGCAATGTTCTTCATGCGACCGGTCGTGGGAACGGGCTTCTCGAGCCTCAAGGCCCACAGAAGCATGTCCTCGGCAGGGAGGAACACCAACAAAGCACGATTGCATAGGTATGCCATCAGCGCGCAGAAGGTTGCAACTACGGCGTCCATGAGGTAGTGGTTGGCGGTGCCGACGATGGTCAACAGAATCCAGCTGGGGTACCAGATGCCGAAGGCGAACATGGCCCAGCTCTTCCAGCGCGCGCGGTTCTCCTGGATCTCTCTGACCTCGACATCGTCGATATCCAGAGACTTGTCCAGGTCGTCCTTGAGAAGGTAGTTGCGCAGGCGACCGAAGAGGAGACTAAGAATCGCAGAATCGGCGACGAAAACGCATCCGATGGCAAAGGCATATCCAAAGTGCATACTCGGCATCGCGGCCAGCTTGTTTACGAACTTTCCGCTCATCCACACACTCTCGGCGTTCTCCATGTTGACGGTGTCGACGAATCCGTACTCGGAAGGCATCAGGCGCGGGGGCGCGCACGGGTAGAAGATGAAGATGATGAAGGCACACATGTTCAGCAGAGTCATGGTGCGACGGACGGTGCAGAAGCGGGCATGGGTAGGCGCCATGGCAAAGTAGTATCCGATGAAGCCGACGGTGCCAGGGATATGGATCATCGAGTAGCCACGGTTGAGGATTGTCAGCCAGATGCCGCGGAAATCACCAGCCTGTGCGCCCTCCAAGAACCAGTGAGACACGCGCCACTCCAACCAACGTTCCGGACCGGTCCTGGTACCCTCGCCGAAGAACTTGGCCTCAGACTCGAGCAGAAACAGGCCGTGGCCTTGAGCAACCTCCCAGAGTGACTTTCTGCCGCCGTAGTAGCTCTGAGCAAGGCTGCCGGTCATTCGGTAGAAAAAGAAGGAGATGGCCCAGTAGAACATTTCGATGAGGAAGGGGAACTTTTGCAGGATGCGCGAGTGGACGTATTTCGCGAAACGGCTCGAGTTAGGGGTCTTGACGCGAATGCATCCAAAGATTGTGCGGAACTTTGGCGGGTGAGGATCGGTTCGAATGGGGCTGCCGAGCGAGTCGTAGTCATCGGACATTCTGGGAGATTCGGCTCCCTCGAAGAGAGGCTCGTAGTTGGCACCATTGCGGCGGAGGATGGAGAAGTTCTTGCGGCGAGTGAACCACAAAGCGGTAAGCATGATTGAAACAATCAGCTAGTGCTGGTGTTAGCAACTTGATCTCGTTCTCGTGTCTGGCCCGCGAGGAAGCGGGAATGGCTTCGACTTCTTACAATTGGTTCTACCCAATCCGGTGTCCTCCATGTGTGTACCGCCTTCCAGCCGCCCTCGGGCGTGCCGTAGGGCAGCTTGCCGTTCGGAAGCTTGCCGTCGGACATTATGTTGGGGTGATCGGGTCGCACTGTCGAGTGTCGGACGAAGTGCAGGTTCTCCTATTTCAAGACGGGGCCTGTTTCCTTTCGAGTCGAATCCCTAACACTCCTTTTCTCTACTTGAATTTCGCAAAGTCGAGGATATCGTTGTCGAGTTCGTCGAACAGCAGCAGAATCATTGACTGGGGTTGCTGTCGTGGGTGTCTCGCAGCCGGAGATTTTTGCCGGGTCGTCGTAAGCGTGTATTCCCAAAACGCCTCCCAAATGTCTGTGCCTTATCGCAGTGAAGTTGGTTGGAACCAGCGAAGGACAAACAAAACCCAACAGCCGAGCGGTCGTGGACAGGGTAATATCGAGGACAGCAGACAGCGTCACACGGTCATCAACGCAAGAAGAACTGCGACGTCGAAGAGGTAGGAAAGGGGGGGAGGGGAGGGGAGGAAGGGATCAGAGTGAATGAAGGCCGACAACAACAGATTGAAGCGGTAGCGGAAGGGAAGCGGCAGGCTCTACATACGGGCCTTTGGGATGGGAGGTGGGATCCGCCGTTCATTTTAACGGATGGGCCGTTTTGGCAGTCTCAAAGGGCGCCTCGACCAATTGGCAAGGCCTGGTCGGTCTGGCTGCGCGCTCCTGCGTGGGAAAAGGGTCGGTCAGTCGCAAGAAAGGCAGACTCAGTGGGAAAAAAGGTGGGAACACGCGGCATCTGGGCGCGATGCCAAGACTTGACGGGTTTCTTCTCTTTTGCGCTGCATCCCTGCCGGCCACCGAGATTCGATCCAAAAGGGCAACAAGTCATGTCGCTCCTTTCCTGGTTTTACCTCTGGGCATTGGGCAAGCGCACCTCCTTCACTTGGGGTAAGGTCACAGTCGCTGTAAGGTGGGGGGGTCTGGGCACCCGTCCATTCACTCCCTACTGACAGAGCAAACTGCTGCAACTGACTGTGCCCGCTGCCCACAGGGCCAGCACTCACTCAGTGC